GGGCGCTAGTGCGCAGACCTCTTTAGCCTTCGCCGACAATAGCCGTGCTCTGTCGCCTACCACGTTCAACGTTCGCTCCTCCTGCCCCGCCAGCGAGGGGACGGGGGGCGACGAACCCCGGGGTTTTGTAGCAGGATGACGCGAGGAGGCGGCGCGAAGAGCGACGCCCCGCGGGAGTGGTCGCGTGGCGGAACGTTTTGGCTGCTGCTCTCGACAACAATGCTCCTCCTCCTCCTACCCGGGGCCCCCGTCGCTTCGGTACTGTTCCCGCTGCTGCTGCTGCTGCTGCTGCTCCGCCGGCGGTTGTTGTCGAAACTCTCGCCCGAAAATCCCGCCGCGCTGTGTCGTCGACGACCCTTCTCGCGGTACCGTACCCCCCCGTCGACCCCGACCCTGCCGCCGCCGCCGCCGCCGCTTCTGCCGCCGCTGCCGCGACTGCTACCCTCCGGCGGGCCGGGTCCGACGCGACGGACGCAACTACAACGTTCGTTCCCCGGGCGCTGGCGGCGAGCAGCAAGAGCAACGCCAGAGCAGCCGCTTGCTGCGCCGAGAGACGAATCTTGGTGTACCTGCGGTACAAGGGTGGTGGTTTGGTGGGCGGGCGGGCGGGCGGGCGGGCGGGCGGGCGGGCCGGCCCGGGGGTGAGACGAATAGCCTGTCGGAAGTTCATCAGCTTTGCGTATAGGTCTGGAGTAGGTCTGGAGTCAGCCTTGGGTGTGACATATTTTCCGACGCCAAATCCTGTCGCCTCGGTTTTCATGACACAAACGGCGAAGTAATGTCGTGTGGCAGAGATGAGCAGTGGAGCGACCACCCAATTCGGTAGTGGCCATTTTGAGCCAAGTCTGGCTGTCTTTCAAGGGAAACATATGCATATGCACTGGTTTATGTTTCTCTCTCTTCTGCTGCCGCCAAGAATCAAAGGCACTCGGTCGTGGACGCACTTGCCGCCGGTCCGGTAGGGTTGTCGGCAAGGCACACGAGGGTACATGGGCCCTACATACGCAAAAAAAAAAAAAATCACCATGGGCTGTACAGCAGCAGTACTGATATCGCACGCAGCAACCCCGTAGCAGCTTTGGAATCGATCGGGAGAGTGAGAGGGGAGCGACATCATGCGACGCACGGCGTCTGTTGTGTACACGAACAAATTATATTCATAGGTGGCAAACCTGCTTCATGAGGACGAAACGATAACCTTCTGCGTCAACTGGCTTCATGTGAACACGCAACACATATGGGAAAAAACTCTCATGCTTGCATTTCATATATCCGACACGACGTCTTTCAGGCGATAACACTTTGTCGTCCACCGCGAAATGCCTTCCACCTCCCGCCAATTCCGCTTGCATTGTTGTAAGAGGGTTGTTGGGGGTTGCCTGCAAGAGACTTCGAGTTCGTGACAACAAGAGCCTGCGACAAAAACTTCCAGACGTAGACGTGCACTCCAAGCTCCCTATCAAGATGTTGTACGCGCTGGGCACCATCAACCATCTCACACACACGGACCCCAGCAGTAGCTGCACAAGTTGCTCCCATGAAGCCGCCCCCCTCTCAACCACCGGCATGGAAACTACTGCTGCTACTCTCTGTGTAGAACTGCGGTGTGTCACATGTAATTTTCAAAATGCTGGCTGGGTGGTGCGGTATCAGTGTGGAAAAGAGCTGGAAAAGAGGGGGTACTGCTGTACAACATGTTTCACAATTTCCTCTCGCCACGGCCAACAGCCAACTGGCAATCGCTCCCGTTAATATCCCGGCACGTGCGGAGGTGCGGGAGATATGGACGGGGCGAGACCTCCTGAGCTGAGCGGCGTGGCTGTCAACAATATCGAGCCTGCTGCGAACAAAAGGCTACTGGACTCACGGCGGTTCAGAGAGAAATCGCAAAAGAGAGCAACTCCTCATCTTCGTTTTTCTGTGAAACCACGGGTCGGGGACGCACGCACCTGTTGCGGGCCACCGCCCTGCCCTTCTCCAGGCTTCTTCCCCTCTCCCTGACTCCACAAGGGTAACGATCCACGAAAGCTGCAACTCTCCCCTGTGCTCTCTGAGTCCGCACATGATGCATTTTGGAGGGGGGGGCACACAGAGGGATGTAGGTTGGGAGGGGTAACATTGCTTTCTTTCTTTCGTGTGCCCCCTCATTTTTCTTACAATCTTCTGCTTTTCTCGATGCTTTCGAAATTTGTCATTACTTTGGGTACCGTCACGGCAGAAACAACCCTTGGCCACCACACGCACACACACGTGCTCTCGCTCGCCCCCGGTAAACACGGCGAAGCGAGTAGACTGAAAACAGAAACCAACATGCTCCTTCTTTCTGATTGGCCAACGGTTTACTTCTGCCGCTTCTCACAAAACGCAGATTTCCCTCACTTCATCAGTCAATCTTTCGCATTTTCGTCAAATCGCGTGTGGGGGGGGGCATACGCTGTTTTGGGCACTCTAAAACCAAGACGAATTGACTTTTCAAAACTTGAGCCGCTGGCTTGGCAGCTGCGGAGGCCGTGACCCCACTCACCGAACAACGACAACGCCGGGATAGGACAGCAGAACACTCCTACGCCCCTTGGCATGCTCTAGAGATTCCCATCACGAAGGAGAGCTCGGCGTACTGCTTCGTTTTAGTCAGCTCCTTTTGCGGCGAGATTTGGGGACTCCGCGCATCAATTTACATCACGTGAAATTTATTTCAAACTAAAGACCGCAGCCGCCGCCCGGCCTGCTTCGGTGGCGCATCAGCGCGCGCACACGCACAGCACCCGGCAGAAGAGTCACGTAGGGGTAAACGGGGGTGGTTTGTCGCTGGGACCATGGCCCTTCCGTCGCAAGCCGGCGGTGCTGCAGGGGCGGAAGCCGATGGGTCGGCTCGTTGCTACATCCTGGGAGACTGTATCTGCGTACATGTAGGCCTTCCCGGTGGCCAACACTACTGCAAAGCGTGTGGCCACCTCGTCCACAACCGTGCCTGCAATATCTCCTCGGCACCGATGACAGCAGTGACGCTGGAATTTTCTGCGGGGGCCTCGCCTGCATGACGACTATGGTCGAGGAGGACAAGTCTAGGCCGATAGCTGCCGGGCAGAGAGCTCGTAACGAGAGAGATGAGCGGCAGAGAGCCGAGCGCGAGCAACGACAGCGAGGCGGCGCAGGGGATCGTTGCGTTGGTGGAGCTGACAAGATCTGCGCTTCGGCCTCTTGCTGTGGTTCTCCGCGCCACTTCAAAGGTACGGGACTGCCGTGTCAGTCGGGCTGCTCGGCGGAAGGTGAGCTCGTGTACATGAACATGTTTACCAGGAGGGACGCCCTCCTTGGGCTGTTCGTGACTGGGTTCTTTCTGGATCTTCCGCGTTTTTTTTTGTTCTGCCGGGACCGAATAGACCGATGAGTCATGAGACACACACACACGACACCTGCACTTGAACGTTTGCACGTTTGTTTGCGCACCAACAGGTTCCCACATGGGTCAACCGCACGCACCCCATGGTGCCACAAAGGTTTAGTGCCCAACAGCAGCGTAACCCTCACGTGAAGAATGTGATGAGTGACCGATAACTACACTGACTGCTGTACTGCTGTATGTAGGTGCTGTCGGAAACCGGAGGAGAGAGAGAGGAGAGGGCGCCGTATTTCTTTACCCCAAACACGATTACATGGTGATAGTCTACATGGATACAGCAGCAGCAGTAGAGATACATCGCATGCACAGCAGTTCTACCCCGCCGCCGATGCAGCACACTGGCGCAAGGCATGGCACCGCCTCCAATGCCACTTGGTTGGGTGGTAAATCCAGCGTAGACAAGAAGCACACACGCACGCGGTTTGTTTGTTGGATGCATGCATGCGAAACGAAATGAAAAAGCACCAGCAGCAGCAGCAGCAGCCCGCCGCAGCAGCAGCAGCAAGCACGAGCCGCGCGAGAGATAAACTATGCCTTGTGGTGGCGGTTGGTTGAAGACGGACAAGGAATACACTCGAACACACACGCGCGCAGGAGAACTCGGGGAGAGGCCTCGTAAGCTTGGCCTTCAGTTCTGCAACCACATTCCGAAGGCAAGGAAGAAGGCACACAAGTCAACAGCGAGAGCATGCTTTATCGTACCAGATAAAGACAGGTTTTATCAATGCCTCCTATCGTGCCTGTAGTCACGAAAACCCTCTCAAAAACGCGAAGGCACGGGGGCGGGTGTCTCTTTTTGACACTTTGTCACTCCGCCACAGCCTGCCAGCACAACAGCAGCAACAACAGCAGTACAGCAGTACCAACATCACCACCATGGACCCAGAGGACATCGCTCAGTTCTGGGAGGCCAAAGCGGCTGAGTGGGACCCAGTGAATGCTCCCCTAGTTGTGTGGGACGAGCTGGTTCTCATCGCGGACACAACACCCCAGCTCCTGCCCGAGGCGACATCTGCTGCAGCCAGGGCGGTTGGGAAGCGGTTCTGCTGCCACGGGGACAACGAGCCCCAGCCCCTCCCAGACATAAGGGACCTGGCAGCAAGGAGGACCGCAGCTCAGCAGCACCCCGGACTCTGCGGGTACCACCACTCCCGCTGGATCGGGGATGTAGATTTCTCAAAGGCAGCCGAGAGGAGCTCGGGGGGGCAGGTCACAGCGAAGCGTCTGAGGAATCAAGTAAGTATAGTACAATTGATATTTGGCAACCCCACAAATGATGGGCTGCTGACCCAGATCGGTTGTGCACCTGCTGTGCGCGTTGCACCTCGTGTATTATAGGTGTGCTTCACGTTCAGCTTTGTTTGACATGGTGGCTTGTAAGAGTGCTACAACAGCAGTACACTAGGCCCACAAACTTCAACCTGGACTAACGTGCGTGTGTTTTTCGAGCCTGCGGATCAATGCAGCTGCCAGACAGATCATATCACCACACGAAGTAGACAGGAAAGAGGGATGAGAGACCTGAAAGACGCGTTTACAGCAACCCTATCCCTATGAACCTCCGCAATGCTCAGCAAATGCTCTGGAAAGGCAAGCGGCGCCCAGCGCGTCGACTCCCCTTTTGAGACAGATATGGTGTTATCTTCCGTATCAGTTAGGTTGGAGACTCTCCCATTTCGTACGAATAGGCTGGCAGCCCGCAGCTTTGTACTCCCCGCATTAGACAGTAGTAGGGGTAACGATGTACTGGGGAGGCCGAGCATAATTTTCTGTCTTGTCCGAAGTTAGGTTTTGTAATCCGAACGGGCGGTTAGTAGTCCGAACGGAGAAAAAGACGCACGCGCCGCCCCATTGCGTGAACGTCTGTCTCTCACAGATACTGCATGCCACGTAACGTTTGTTGGCTCTCCATTTTCCCACGAAAGACTGGAGTGCACGCTCTAAAAAAACAAGCCTACGTCGTCGTTTTTTCCCCCGCAACGTGCAGGCTTCGTTCGACGTGAGCACCCGCCTCAACGCGAGGGGTCGTGGCGTTCAAATCACGAGGAGGGACTGCTTCACGCAGGCGTGCCGCGCGGTGTGGCCGGGAGACGAAGCCATACCAGCGGCCATTGCGGAGGCATTGTCGTGATTCTCGAGCGCGTGTTTTAGGCTGATCATGGAGCCTGAGGGGTGGGGTGGGGGGGTGGAGAGGGTTTCGTACTTACAAGAGTTTCGAGCAGACCCTCAAGGTTTGCGCTTGGCTAGTTTGCAGGGCGTCGTGCCCCCAGCATGACTTTGAGTTCGCTGGGTTTGTCGTTCAATTCGCTGGGGTTATTTGGAGAAAGAGTGCTGCAAGGCACAACTCGGTGGAACAACCGATGGTGCAATGGTGTGATCTGAAAATTCCGTATGTTTCGTCGCATGTTGCAGGCGCACTCGCCGGGAGATGTGTATTGCATTTTCGCAGAGATCAGCGCCTTGGTTTCGAGATGAAGAAATGGAATAAACATGGAACAAATGATCTTGCAAGTATTCACGACTTGATCGCATGAAGGTCTCCGGAATGTCTGTCATTGGCACACGGTTGGATTCCGATGCCGTTTGCGGTCTCTGAACTACTGGTGAGCACCACCGGCACGTGGTGTGTATGACGTTGTCGCACGAAAGGACTAGACTACACCGCACGCAGTGAAAAAACTAAAGTGCCAGGAAAACGTTGTTTATCTAGATGCCGAAGACTTCTTTCGATTTTATCTGCAAACCTTGGTATCTGCAAACCTTGTACACTTCGTACTCCATTCCTTGTCTACGTGCGAACATGTCTGTCGACCAAAGCACGGGATA